GATTTTAACACAGAGATAGTAGTGAAACCCTGGCTTGGTCTAGTGTTTGGTTATCAGAGTTTCCAGAGTGAATAATATTAAAAATTATTTCCAGTTTTCACTACTCAGATTGACAGGATTTGTTGATCTCTTTGGCTTGAGAAGTGAGAAAAAAGTGTCAAAAATAACCCTGAAATGTGCACTTACAACAGAAAACACCTGACTTGCTTGATTTATTTATTTGAAGGATAGAGTTACATGCAGAGAGACAGACGAGATGTTTTCCATCCTTGGATCACTCCACAAATGGCTGCGATGGCTAGAACTAGGCCTGTCTGAAACCAGGAGCCAGGAGCTTACTCTGGATCTCCAGAGTGGGTGTGGGCATCCGAGGGCTTGAGCTATCCTCTCCTATATTTCAAACCCATTTGCTGGACAAGAAGTGGAACAGCCAGGACTGAAACTGACACCCACGTAGGATTCCAGCACTAGAAATGTTGGTTTACCCACTAAACCTCAGATTTTGCCCCTGCTTTGTATTTTTATGCTTTTTTATGTTGATATCTTTTTTAAAAAATTTTTTATTAATATAAAGAGAACAGATTGTATGCATTCCTTAGGTAGAATTCAAGGATATGATTATACATTCCTGGTTGCCCTGCATGTATTTGCTTTATGATACAGCTCAGAAAACTTCTACTCAGTGCCATAATTCCTGATTTAGCTTCTGTTCTTGGATTTGGGAGCAAAACCTTCATCACAGATTTTTCTGGTCTTTGGCAGTGAAACCTATTGTACAAAGAAAGGACAGTTAATATAATTCTAAAATGAGAAGGAAAAATGACTTGCCTGCTCTTAGGAAGTTGGTGTGTAATTGGATAATGGTTCTGGACAAAACACTGTTTTTCTTTCCGAAGGCCCGCACTTCTCACAGTAGCAAATTATGCTTCTTAAATACTTTGGTATTAACTATAGACTCTGATCAAATTCCCCAGGGATCAGGAACTAATTTCTGATGTACAGTATGTCTCTAGGCTTCCACATTAGGGGTAAATGAATTATGGTCCCTATCTAGGAGGACATCTGTTTTTATAAATGAAGTTTTGTTGGAAAACAGCCATGCTCACTTGTTTATGCATTGTCTCTTATTGCTCTAACACTAAAACAACACAGTTGAGTGGCTAAGACAGAGACCGTATGAACTACTAATCCAAAAATATTTATTATCTATTTCTTTGTAGAAAAAGCTTTGTAACCTCTGATGAGGAGTAATCAATCTTGCTAGGTTGAATATCCAATTGTTGTCCTCCTGGTTTGGAAGAATTTTGAATGTTCATGTCTTAATTACACATGGTGACTCAAAATGCGCTGTTGTTTTCTGTTGAAGGAAAATGTTTATGGTAATATGGAAGCAAATGCTAAGCCTATATTTAGGTTTTGCAAGCTGCTGTCTCTTTTAGGGCAGGTGTCTGGTGAGTAATACGAAGGGAGCTTGCTACTGCTAAAACCTCACCTGTGTAATCTGGGTAGCACAGGTTTACCAGTCCCCTCGGCATTGGCCTCGAATGCTGGTGAGGCATCTGCTGTATTTCAGGAGAGTCGTAGTAAGTTATGGAAGACTTCTGTTTTGCCTCACTCATCTGCCAAGTTGTGACTCAGGGCAATCTGGCATGTGAGTGCTCACGAGTCTTCGTTAAGCATTGAGTTTGCACAGTGAAAGAGATCTTCAGTATGTTTGTTGTCTGTCTGTTCTTGAAAGTGCTAAATTGTCACCTAAAACTGTAATTGTGTATTTTTATACACTGAAGAACTGTCACAAGATTCTTAATCATTTCTTTTGAATTCTTATTTCCTTGTTTCCAATTCTCTTCTTAATATTTCTGCTGTCTCAGAGTATGTTTTCTAACCTTTAGACATTATTTGCCCAACTTTTAAAACACAGTTTCTAATTCTGAACATACATGGTTAAAATGGACTTGGTCAATGCTGTGTATGTTTCATGTCTTAGCCTATTTTCCCACTAACATCAATTACATACATAACAATAACTTATTAAATACTAAAACTGCATAGTAGATTCATGGATAGTTTTTTCTTTGTTCTTTTAAGCAAAACAGAGGAATGTATTGTGTTTTAGCAAAAAGATAGTGAAATTTATATTCATATAATTTGAGATCTGTTCCCAACTCTTCAAGTGTTTACATTTTTTACCTAAGTTTACTTACACAATCTGAACTCAAGTGTTTCATCTTTCCAATGAAGAGTTCTGTCTCAGAAGCTCTGAGATCTTTTATAACTCAGGAGCATGAGATGGTTCGATGTGCTTCAGCTTGATGTTAGGACCCTATATTTGCACCGCTTATTAGAAGCATCTTGAGATTCCTCTGAAGAGAGTGAAAGAGATTAAAGCCAGGGAAAATCATCAGCAAATGTGGCAAGGAGCTCTGAGCTGGGCTGAGCGGGGCTTTGTTCAGTGCCACGCTCTTTCTTCAGCAGGTGCAAGAGTCCCATCACCCTGCTATATTAGCAGCAGCTTCATTAGCATCCTCAGATGCAGGTACTCTCCCAGCCTCACAGTGATACTCAGATGCAGGTACTCTCCCAGCCTCACAGTGATACTCAGATGTGGGTACTCTCCCAACCTCACAGTGATACTCAGATGCAGGTACTCTCCCAGCCTCACAGTGATACTGTTCCCCTTAAACCAATTTCTAAAACGTGGTGACACATTTGTCACTGTGAGTGTACCAGCATATTAGTATGTAACACTGAGACAGGGGTTGTAGAGTATAAGACTCATCGTATATAACATGAAAAATGAGACACACTGATTCAGTCCTATGCTATTGATGCTTCCCACTCTGCTATTGTTTATTGTTGTTGTCTTTTCAAAAGGTAAGGCCACACATATACATCAGTAAAAACCCACTGAAGCTCTGGTTTACTGCAAGAAACCGGGAGGCATGCAAAGTGTCCATATCCCACTTTGAGCTTCTGTGTTGCTTGGGCAGTGCAACTGTTTCCCGTCATGACAGCACAGTCCTTAAAAGTAATGGAACACTTCAAGCCACCATGTTGTTTGCACCTTTCTCTCCTGGCATTAAGTTACTAAACTATAATATGATCCTAGAAACTGCATCAGTAGTTGTCAAGTATAGTTGGCTGCATATGGAAAGCATGTGAGTCTTTCCAGAATTGAGAATATTAACAAATTCTTCTGTACCGTTGTTTCCCAGTCGAGAAAAAGAAGACACACTGACATAGAGAAATAAGAAATTCCACCAGATTTGTCTCCTGTGTAACTATTTATTTAACTCCAAGAACACAGTTTACCATATAAAGATCTAAACTGCTCTCTCTCCATCAAATAAAATTAAAGGTGTTCTCAACTTACATCCTGGCAGAGCCTTTTTTATATTGACACTTCCTGAACAACATGGTAATTACTGTGCTCGAGACAGAAATTCACTCAAGATTTCTGCCCTCTAACCCTACTTTTAAGAATTACCCACATCTCTGAATTTGTGCCTAGACACTTGCTGCCTTCCACCATGAGCCTAAGGGAGATTTCTTGCATTGTGCCTGAGGTGCTCTTAACTGAAAAGTACCGATGATGTTCCTGCATAAGGGAGGACAATTGAAACCCTGAAACAGCCTTGAAAAATATGTCACATAGACTTGAGAACCTTATTAAGCGAAGCGGAGGTGAAAGGGGGTGAATAAAGCAAACTAAATGTAAAGGATGAAAAAAAAAGGAAATGGAGAAACAAAGGAAAGAAGAAAAATGGGAAGAGAGGGAGAATGGACGCCTGTGTATCCCTTACGCTGTTTTTCCAGTAAAAGGCTTTGGCATATAGGCATGAAAATGTGGACATATGTTCTGGTGAGGTTTTTACTAACCAAATACTCACCTGTCTCAGGCTATTCGTGAATTTAAGAGCTCTATGTTGTCTCATGGCTTTGGAGGCTCAAGTGTAAGATTGGCTGTGGTCCCTTTCATCTGGCCCCAGACGAAGCAGTGGATGACGGGTGTGGATTAAGTGCTGGGGAAGGATCCTACAGTGAGTCAGAAGTGAGGAAATCTACGAATTAGTAAAGCTGCTAAATGAGTCTGAAATGAAACCTGAGTCACTTTCCTGAACTCCGTGCTCTGTATGCCTTTCTAGCCACAATTTCCCAGAAAAGTATTAGCTAATACTTGGATTTTACCAAGATAAGAAAGTTTTCCAACTTTTAAATTGCATGTCTATGTAGATTTATGAGAGAGTAAGAGAGAGAGAGAGAGAGAACTTAATCTCCTGGTTCACACTCTCAAAGATCTGAAACACCCTAGCTGAAGCAGACTGAGCCAGGATCCCCTGCTGGTTTCCCACAAGGGGGTTGGGAACCCGAATACTTGGACCAGAATGCACAGCCTCCCAGTTATATAAGCAGGGAGCTGGACTGAAAATAGAAAACTTGGAACTTGGCATAGCACTCCAATATAGGTTGCTGGTATTGCAGGTTGTATCTTAACTTCCCACAGCACAGTATAGAAAGCCCTGTGTCTAGTTATTCTTACTCAATGTTGTATCAGAGGTATGTAGTTTACTGTACTCAAAAATTATTCATTCACATTGATATAATGCTGTTTTGTGAAGATAAATCTTAAAACTGCCAATTTTTAAAGTAAATTGTTCATTACAATCATTCGATCATATGTGACATTTCTAATGGCTATTACTCTCCTCTCATATTTGACATTTTGGTTTTAATATTGGCCATTCTGATGGATAAGCTTTAGTTTCCAAAATGACTAAATAAACCCCTAGCAAACTCATATCCAGCAAAGGTCATCATTGAAGAGCCACTGTGTGCTGGGGGCGGTAAAGGGTGGCCTTTCTTAGAGTAGAATGAATGCTTCAACAGCTGCGAGCTCAGAGAAGTAATACAATTCGAATGGTGTAAGCAAAAATGATTCAACATGGTCAAGTATTCTGTTTAAAATAGTGCCTTACTTACAATCTCTGTTGCTGTTGCAGGGTCTCCATTTTGGTGTCTTTTGGATATTGTTCCTATAAAGAATGAGAAAGGAGATGTGGTTCTTTTTCTGGCCTCATTCAAGGATATAACAGATACGAAAGTGAAGCTTACTCCTGAAGAGAAAAAAGAAGGTTTGTGCTGTTTTCAGAAAACATTGGCAGATGGGATAACATTTTGAAATTGTTTATGCAAAAGCTCTGGGAGAAAACAAAGCATCATTTTAATAACAGCAACTGATAAATATTCATAACTGTTAACACTCATATTTCTTACATATTTCAAACTCGCAGAAACACATGAATTTATATTCTTATCTTTGTAATAAAGATTCATTTGATAGAAAGCAGAAGTTCATATTCAGATGCAAATAGGATGAGGATGAGAAAACAATTTATTACACCATAAGAACTCATACCACCTAGTTTTATAAGGTAAAAAATTGAATTGCTAGGATAAGTGAAGCTAAATGACATTATTAAAAATACTTCTCTTTTTCATCTAACTTGTTATGGCTGAAAATTTAGAAGTGTAAAATCTCACTTAAATGCAAGAACTCATGTAGAGATATTGTTAAAATGAAAAAATGTCAGTAAATATCTTGTGCTGCATGGCTATAATATTACAATTTTTTGTTTCCTTGTGTTTCTTTTTTTCATTAATTAATGTATTTTACTATTCCATGATACAGTTGCATCGGCTCTGAGATTTCCCATCCTGCCTCCCCAAATCTCCCCCATGTAGTTACAATAAATAGTCCTTCACTATCAGTCATAGGTCCACCATTGTACTATTTACGTGTATGCTGATATTGTGGGCATGGGAGTCCATCTTTGATTTGAAAGTAGAGATACACACTGCATTGTATCCTCACATCTTTCTGTGACAGTCTCTACTACACAGTCACTGCAGTGTTCTTGTTTGTTTTAAAGAGAAGTAGGATTAGATATTCTGATGTCAAGAGAAAAAGTAATTGTCCTAATACGTATTTCCTGAATGGTCAGTGCTTTATCAGAACCAGATCCTTGATATCTCAATGGCTGTGACTGTTTAAAAATGGACTCTTTTACTTCAACTCTTTCTTAAGATGTGTATGAATATTTTGAACATGGCATGCTCCTTGACATTTCAGTCAAATGAAAAAATTTCACAGTTTGATGCCCTCACTTAATTTATTCAAAATCTTTTTCAAATATGTAACTGTTTACCTCTAAATTAGCATGATCAAAAACCTTGGCATGTCTTACAAATATAAGGAAAGCATATTTTTATAATTAAATATGTATATTTATGCACATTTTAATATATGTCTGGTCATAATGCAGTAGGACTGATTCTCAAAGTAATGCATTGCCTTTTGTCTGTCTGCTTCAAGTCAGTCCTTAACTGACTTGCTTTGAACATAACGATCATGTGCAATCATTCTACACAAATTATGTAGCCGTTTGTGTCTCAAGTCGGCTTGGACTTCCTTTCATAGTAGACTACAAGCAGTGAAAGGAGTGAGGTATATCTATTCATTTGGTGTTTGAGAGAATTCCATCAAAACACACTTGTTTGGGAAGTAGAGATTAGTACTGCATTGTATCTTCACATCTGAATATGATGGTCTCTATTGTAGTTACTATACATCCCCTTAATTGAAAGGCATAAAACAAAATAAACAACAGGAAGAAAAACAGAAAATTTACCATACCATGACAAATAACATGCCACTGAATGACCAGTGTGTTGATGAAGAAATGAAAATCAAAATCCTTCTTGAAGCAAACAGTACTGCGTGATCTATGAGTCAGTGGAAAATTAACAACAACAAAAAAACTTTTAAGGAATGAAAATAAAAACAAAACTATCAAAACTCATGAGATATATGTAGCAAAAACAGCACTGAAAGGACTATTGATCTTGTATTTTGCATGAAGATCGCCTTATAACAGAGATAACATATGATATTTGTCCTTTTGGGATTGATTTGCTTCACTGAGCATGATGGTCTCTAGTTGGGCCTATTTGGTTCCAAATGGTAGAATTTCACTCTTTCTAATGGCTGAGTAGTATTCCATGGAGTAGATGCACCTGTTAAATGTAGAGTAGTATTCCATGGAGTAGATGTACCTGTTAAATATACCTTGACGATAGGATGCTGGACTCTACCTTTGTCTATAGCTACAATATCAGGGCACACTTAAATGGCAGAATGATGCAATGAAGACTGTTTATGAAGGACTATACTATTGTAATAATATAGAAGGAATCATTAGGGGGAAAGGGGTAGGAATTGGGGAAAGATGGAAGGGTAATCCCGGAGTCAATAAATTTTAAAAAAAGCTTTACTCACCATTCTGAGTCAACTTTTAAAGAAAGGCAAATCTGAGGTAAAAATATTGCTACTGCTTTTGATGAGACCGGTAAATGAGAAGGCGAGAATGTTGTGGCTCTCAGACAGTACTCCCTCCTGGTGAGCTAGGAATTAAAGGCCAGCTGGACTTCAGGCACAGAACTCTCCAGGGACAGAGACAAAGCTCCCCGGGAGGTCGAAGTCTGGAGGGTCAGAGCAGGACAGGTGAGCCCCAAAGGCAGCTTCTCCTGGAAAGAAAGGAGAGGAAAGAGATGCACTGTGCATGTCAGTAACTGCCATTAACCTCTGTCAGATTGAATTCTGCATCTTCCCTTGGGATGCACTAGGTCTGCCAGCAGGGGGAGGCAGTCTTGTACCCCTGGAAGAACTGCTTCCACGTGAGAGTTCATGCCTGCCGCTGGGAGTGAAGAGCCACGCTTAAATGCTCCATTCCGCTGATGACGAGTACACTAACCCAGGGGTCTGCCTTAGAAATGAATTTCACGTTTTTAAAATTGGTATATTAAACTGTGCCCAATAATAATTCTGTTTATGTTTAAGGGACATGTATGCTTAAAAAGGATGATATCTCTGGTGAGTTTTAAAGAAAGAAATACAAAAGCCTTTTAATACCAAATATATTAGGCAAAACAGAATTTGAATTTTTTGAAATATTTTGCTACTAACTTCTTAAATATTTTTATTATTTTATAACTTTGTCTCTCAAATATTTCCTGTGAAAATAAGTACTGTTCCTAACAAACACTGAACATTCAAGGGTACTTTTTTCTCATGGCTGTTATTGGAAATGCCCCACAAAAAAATATACACTATTTTTAGAGACACATTAACTGTTGTGAGTTAGCATGGTTGTAAAAATGATTCTCGGCGAGTAGGTATATATTTCTCTTTTTATAATCAGTTTAATGGAGAAAAACACCTTAAAATGAACCATTCTCAGCATACCAGCAAGAAAGATACATCTTAGCATATAGTATTTTTAAAAATTCTTTGAGAGGTAAAGATACAGGAAAGATCAGTGCAATTGCCAAAAATATAGACAGAATGCTACTACCCACAGTTTTAAACATTGCCCAAATTCACATAATTGCCCAGGCTGGGCCCGGCTACACAGGAAGCATGGAAGCCAGTTTGTATCTGTAAGTAGTTGGCAGGGATCCAATCACTGGAGTCATAACCAGCTGTAAGATGTGCATGAAAAAGAAGCCAGAATCAGAAGCAGAGGTGTTAGAACCCGTGCCCACTCTTGTTCGTGTCTGAAACATTGTCTCATGCCGGCTCAGGCAGTGTCTTCGCCAGTGGGCCAAATGTACAATTTTTTGGCACTTTTAGAACCCCAAGAGAAGTATTTGAAAATCATTAAGTCATTTGCTATATACCTAGAGCGACAGTGATTGACGGAACTAGCTATCTCTAAATAAGCAGGCAGCCTCACTTGATGCTATATTTCATTTCATACAGATGTGTCACTTAAATTCATTTATGTCATTAAATAAGGTTTATACTGATTAAGTTTATTCCCTACGGAAGCTCCAAGGATATGAGAGCTCAGGATGGTTTGCTAAAGGGAGAGAAATCGTTTGAATCTCTGCTTCTGAAACACACTTCAATCATTAATCTCAACACTGTGTTTTGAATCAGGAAAACGATTGTATAAGACAGTAGCAAAATGTGGAGTGCAATATAGATGGTTCACTAAAAACAACAGCGTTGTAATGATCACAAACATTAAGTATTCATTGCGTGGTCAATAGCTCTCAGATAATGCTGTGTGTGTGTGGAGAGAGAGAGATGGAGAGAGAAAAACTAGCAGTAGCCTGGTGTTCTTCTTTGCCATCTTGTAAAATGCCCTTCTTTTGAGGAAAATCAGGTGTTTGCCCTAACATTTAACAAGCCAGAGTCTCAGAGTTGCTGACTTTAGTCTGTCGGTGCTGCTGAGCTACACATTGAGAAACCGCTGCTCCAGAACAATGATTCAAAATTGGTGACACTGGGAACGTTTTAAAAGAATACACGGTCCAAGTCCCCCTCCATGAACTAAATGAGAATTTCTGCTACCACATCGGGTGTTGGTACTTTTTTAAAGTTCCCAAGTAGAATCTGATGAGAAGGTGAGGAGACTTAGACCCACTGTGTTCTGAAACGTAATAAAATATCAGTGGCAGGATTTAGTCATGCTAGGCTAAAAACTGAACCTCGATGAACACACACATAGCTCCTAGGGGATGGCATGAGATGCTATGAGAGCAATGATGCAGACAGAGCAACATATGTGCTTGTATACATATGTAACTCTATATGTACAATCCAGCTTCCTACCAACACAGACCTTCAAAGGCTGCAGGAGATGACTCAGGTATCCAGATCCCTGCCACCAACAGGGGGGGACTAGGGTCAAGTTTTCGTTTCCTGCCTCCAGACCAGCCCCAGACATGGCAAGCGGACATTGCTGGGAGTGGTCCACTGGTGGTGAACAGTCTGTCTCTCTGTCTCTCTCTCTCTCTGTGTCTTACATTTTCTATTTCTCTTGCTCTCTTTCTTGCTCTGGGATAATTTTTTATGCATTTTTCATGCTTTGCCTCTATTCAAGAATAACTACTAAATCCATGTCTGGCGTTCTTCACAGTGACTTTCCTACAGGATTCTGTTTCCCTCTCTGCCTCTCAATAAGGTATATGTAAATGTAAGCCTTGGGTCTATGTGACAATGAATGTAATAGTTGCCTTTTTTTTTTTTTCCTTGCTGACCAGAAGTTCCGATTTCCAGTTTAAAATC